CCAGGAGTCTAGTGGGTACTTAGAGGAACATTTTCCAAGGTTGAGATACGGCTTGGTTGTGCCTTAAAATTCCGGTGCCTGCTTGGTTGTGCCTTAAGAAAATACGGGTGCATGCGGAATCTATGTGTGAGGTTAAGGAGCATGTCTTCACTGGTATTGGTGGACTCAGTAACTTCTTAAAATAGTGACAATATTTTTTCAGTGACTGATATTCTCTTGTTGTGTGTAGTTAATACTATTTTTTCAGGTACTGATATTGTCTTGCTGTGTGTAGTTAATATTTCTTAAATAATTTTTATAGTATTGGTTTTAATGTTTGTATCACTAATTGATGTCAGATAACGAGGGAACTGTTTTGCAGATGAGGTTCCTCCTTTCTGTTGTAAGTGATACTGTGATCTAGTTCCAAATATGCATTTAATATTTCTTTATAATTTCAATATAATGTATAACCTTTGTTCCCCAGTGTAGCCCTTAAGGCCAGGTTAAGAGGTGTGCATCTGTTGGTGTAATATAATTTTGTTGAGTGCCCTTAAGGCCTATTTATGGTGGAGCTAATAAATTCTTATTTTTATACCATTTTTTCAGTGATTGATATTATTTTGTTGAAAGCCCTGAAGGCCTGTTCATGTGCGCAAGCAACATTTCTTAATACTTTGAATTTATTGTTGTCTAATGAGGCATTTTATAAGTTTCTAATAATATCAATATCTTGTATAACTTTTATTCCCCAGAGTAGTGTTTTAAGCCAGGTTAAGAGGTGCGCATATGTTGGTGTACCATTATTGATTGTGTCTGTAGTGTTGGAGGGAATAGAAGTGTCTAAATTTTACAGTGCGTCTCATTCACCCCAATCACAGATGCTATCCTTCCACGGGTCACGGAGAATTCATTTTTGTTAGTAAATTTAAGTGTTTTTGTGCTGGTTTGGGTTTTTTCTCCAAGGGGCGTTTCCACTGCAATTACCATCTAATAATAATAAACCCCAAGGCAAGTGAGAATAAATTTCATAATTCCGACCAGTTACATTATATATATATATATATATATATTCCTTCCACTATGCCCAAAATCAACCTTGTGCGTCAAGTAATGTCTTATAATACACACACATTCACTAAGAAGCAAATTGTCCATTTAAACGTTCCAGTTTAACAACATGGCAACATGAACCTGTTGTCAGATAGTATAGTGCCATTGTTGCAAAGACCTCTGGCAGCTATGTGCACTACCCAGTTATCTTTTATCAACCCAAAGATAATTAGTTGATATAACTATCCAGGTACTTCTACCTCACTTGTACGTGTAAGAGTACAATTTTTGGACTGATAAATATATACTCTCATGACAGGACGGTGTGACTTCTATACGTCCAGAGAAAAGTTTATGCCCTTCATGTCATCTATGGTTGGTCCAAGGGACAGTCCTCTGGTTCCTGTCATCGGGAAGAGGTTGGTGAGGGGCGCGAATTCTTAGCTTCTCTCTTCCTGATGTGTATGATAAACATTGTAATGATTTTTATAAGTTAAAACTTTCTTATCTGAATAATAGGTTATGAAATCTGAAGCCTTTCCTTCTCATGTGAATATTTGCATAGCTTTATCGATACTTACATGTGTAATTCCCTTTGGCAGAAAATAAGGTAGGTGATAGGTAGTAGGCAGCTACCAAACAGGGAGGTACTACCGCCTGGGAAGATATTGGAAGCATAATATGTTGTCTAATGGTAGACCCTGCTGCTATATGTGACCAAGTCCCAGGTTGATGATCTGACTCATTTACACTCAATTGCAAGGTCTCAATTGTTCCTCTTACTAGTGACAACACAACATACATATATTTTTTCTCACTTTTGATCTATTTTCATATTTTTTATTTCTCTATGGTTCTTTATTATTATTATTATAATTATTATTATTATTAATATTATTATTATTAATATTATTATTATTATTATTATTATTATTATTATTATTATTATTATTATTATTATTATTATTATTATTACATTTTCGCCCCCCAGGCCCCGATGTGGGTCAGTGACCTGTGCCCGGGTGGGCTAATCCCCGTAAAAAATTATATATAAATATAAAAAAGTGTATTTAGAAGACTTTATTAGCTTATTAAATAATAAGATATTGACTCAAGAATATTTTAGTTACTGATATAATATTTATATTACATCAAGGAAATGAAGTGCCATATTCAGTGTTTATTCTCATTTTGGTTTAATTAATCCAACGAAATAACGCCTGTACATAACCGAGTAGAAATGTGAATAAATTTTATAGTGACAAAACAAATTAAGCCAATCACCTGCAGCAACACTTAATAACTGATAGATAAATCTCTGGATAAACATGCGAATCTCTCTCTGCTGAATTGGGAGTGCACAGTTGCCTTGAGTAACAGACACTACACATATTGCTTCACTCTCATATACATAGTAGGCCTATGGAAGCCTCCTGACACATAACGTTTTCCTCTCCGTCAGTTCATACCATCCTGCTTTAAACAAACACGGTCTTTGATAAGGGGACACCTCGGTGAACAGATATAACAATGACACTTGTACCTCCGTAGACGTTTATTTGTCAAAAGAAATGTTGCAGATAAAACCGCATTCCACCGTTAGTCATATGATGTAACTGATACACATATGATTTTAATTTTTATTTGATTTTTACTTATCATGAACTCATCTTCCCCTAACAGCATCAAGGCAGTAACGCAGACAGGACTATACGACCACTGGACGGAGGGATACATGCCTAATGCTACTTCCTGTGCGCATCCACCAACAAAGATTACTGTCAACACCTCGTTAGCCTTCCACAACCTCTGGGTAATCCACTTAGAACAAATAATGTCATGAATTGATTTTTAACCTGGGCTATCCTCATCCCACCAAGCTGTGAATGGGCACATAGTGTTACAGATTGGAAAAAGGTGCTCAATTTCAGTGCCGACCACATTGCTTTCTTATACAGCGGATACACTGAGCCTGCAAAGTGATGTATTCACATTGCCCTTAAAAGGCCTTTAGAACGTATTTGCACCTTGTTGTATGACTCCGTAATCGGAATATTTGTTTAATCACCAACAGTTTTGTAGTACTGAGATAACAGACTCCCTGTCGCCATTTGAGAGTCTCTAGGCTCAAAGGCTCAGATTCTGAACTATTATGTTTGTAACAAATAATCTTCAACATGTATTTGGATATTTAATATGAATGTAATAAAATGGCGGCGAAGGTGTGGCTATTGGGGGAGGCTGGAGTAGTAGTAGTATTAGTAGTACTAGTAATATTAGTACTACTAGTAGCAGTAGTAGTAGTGTCATTATTAGATTAGCTATTACAATAATTTACCTCATCATTTTTTTTATTAGTTTTCTTATTATAAACTCAGTTCCTCATTGAAAATTGTAAGCCTATATGACCTAATATATAATATTTCATCCGTTTTGAGGAACAACGTGAAATTTCAGGGGATGTTCGTGATGCTGGTTGGTGGTCACACTGTCAGCCTCATTGTCCTGGTCCTCGAGCTCCTCAACGCCCGACGAGAGAACCTCTAAGTCTCCTCTTGACAACATGCCACCATACGTATAATATCACTAACTGGACCAACAACTTCAGCAGCTTGGGAATCTAAACACCTCAGACTGCTGACCTGAAGCTTAGAATTCCGTATTGTAATATTATGTTGTCACTCTAAATTCATTCTTTTTCTCAGGCTGTTGTGTTTATCTATTTTGTTGTATTTGTTTATCGTCCGAAGGATTATTACAATAAAGTGAAACAATTCTTCAACGTCAAGAATTTTCATTTCAACCTATTCCACAATAAGCACCGAATATTCTTGTATTTGAAGTATCATTAAAATAATATATATATATATATATATATATATATATATATATATATATATATATATATATATATATATATATATATATATATATATATATATATATATATATATATATATATATATATATATATATATATATATATATATATATATATATATATATATATATATATATATATATATATATATGTATACTAGCAGAATCGACGCTAGGCCACGGTAGGACGCCACCCTCCGGGAGGCTCCACATTGTCTCACTGTTCAGTCTCCAAAACTTCTTCTTCCATCAATAGTTCATTAACGGTGTATGTAAGTTCCACCGTGTTTTTTCACTACAACGGTACAGCAAAGTATATTTCTTTAGCATTAAAATGTTATTATTTTATTGTCTAATCCTCACTACATATAACACCACCCATCATCACAACATATAACATCATCCATCATCACTACATATAACACCATCCATCATCACTACATATAACACCATCCATCATCACTGCATATAACACCATCCATCATCACTACATATAACACCATCCATCATCACTACATATAACACCATCCATCATCAATGCATATAACACCATCCATCACCACTACATATAACACCATCCATCATCACTGCATATAACACCAACCATCATCACTACATATAACACCATCCATCATCACTGCATATAACACCACCCATCATCACTACATATAACACCATCCATCATCACTACATATAACACCATCCATCATCACTGCATATAACACCATCCATCATCACTACATATAACACCATCCATCATCACTACATATAACACCATCAATCATCACTACATATAACACCATCCATCATCACTACATATAACACCACCCATCATCACTGCATATAACACCATCCATCATCACTACATATAACACCATTCATCATCACTGCATATAACACCATCCATCATCACTACATATAACACCATCCATCATCACTACATATAACACCATCCATCATCACTGCATATAACACCATCCATCACCACTACATATAACACCACCCATCATCACTGCATATAACACCACCCATCATCACTACATATAACACCATCCATCATCACTACATATAACACCATCCATCATCACTGCATATAACACCACCCATCATCACTCTATATAACTCCATCTATCATCACTACATATAACACCATCCATCATCACTACATATAACACCATCCATCATCACTGCATATAACACCATCCATCATCCCTACATATAACACCATCCATCATCACTACATATAACACCATCCATCATCACTACAGATCGGTAAAGTAGTTTCCGAGATTCTCGTGCGGACACACAAACAGACAAACACACAGGCATACTTATTTGTTATATATATATATATATATATATATATATATATATATATATATATATATATATATATATAAATTAAAAGGTCATTGCGGAAGGGTGCCCATATTTTGCTTGGCCAATCATTGTGTGTAATTGTAGTAACTCAACTAATTTTCGTTATTGATTACTCAGTTGTTCCCAACTTTTGCCTACTTTTGGTTAGTAGGTAAGTGTATGTATTGACTGGCTGTCAGCAACAGTATAGGTATTACGACTCTACGCTCAAATAAATACCAGAGTAATGCAGCTCCCGGTTCATTACGTAGCAGTCCTCCGCGCTGTCACCAAGGTTCTCTCCCGTACCAGTACCTTGCCTTAACTGTCAGTACAACATTATATTTTTTCACTGAGTTCTGTTGCAGTGTTAACGTGTTTTTAAAAGGAATATCACTGTGCAGGAGATATAAAAGCATTTACTGTATATGTAACAGAAGAAAAAACATTATTTCCAATGTTTGGATTATAAGCAAAATTGTCATTTGGTGGCAAAGAAACATTTCGGCTTTAGTTTTATCTAAAGTTTTGATTTTAATAAACAATAACGATACTTCACATTGACATGCTGTACTTATTTACGGTTATTACAGTAGGCTGTATCAGTTCCAATTGTATTTTTTTTTTCACTATGAAAAATAATTTATGAAAATAAGCAATGGAATTCAATAATTCAGAAACAGCAAGACAGGTAAGATCTAAATAAGAGTACATACAGCTACAGTGACCGAGAAGAACAAGAGTGTACTGCACATAGAGTCCTCACGATCGATGTATTTTGTTACGTGAGGTCATCTTGTACACACAGTCAAGGTACGTATCAATATGACACACATCAAACTTGTCGTATGGTGTCTGGAAATATGACAAATTTACTCGTGATAAATTTATTTATACCGCTGTCAGGACAACTAAATTTAATTTGGTTAAATAAAACTTAGCTTAACGGGACAGAGCAGTCTATCAAAGTGAAATTAAGTCTATAATAACAAGCTAGGAGAGCACGTAAAAATTTTTCAGTGTATAGATGACGATAAACAAGTCGGAAATTTATTATACCACTATTTGTTTTGGCAATAAAATCCCTTTTATCCTTTTTCTATATCAGAAATAAATCCAATGTAAACAGACACTATATATTTATTTGTTTTTATAAATGTTTATGCAAGTTGCCATTAGCTTATAGTGCTGTACAGTGTTCGAGAATCTTCATCAGTCAGAATATTTGGCGGCAAGGAAAACTCTCTCCTCTGAAGTAACACAATAATGCCATGAGAGGAATTTAGTTCATTAATACTATGATAAATTAAGTCTTGTATAGGAGCTGGTATGGATTACTGTAACATATACGGTATACATAAGACTGTTAATCTATCTTTTGCTGTCTGATTTATATAACATACAATATATCTTATAAGATCTAATGAAAAATCTTATATACCCTGAACCACATGTACACGCAGGAACATTTATAACCAGTTGAAGATACTCCTTCAGTTTTCTGGTAGGAATTATCTACTTCAGTTTTTTCAACAAATTATAAAAAATAAAGAATATCAGAGTCTTAAATATGCTCTGTGACAATTATTTTAAAGAATTTATTCACTCTGTCTTGACTACTCTGAAGGCCAACACAGTATTAGCTTTAAATTTATAACTCTACTGAACACTCACATATTTTCGTACGCAGGAATATGGAGCGGCAACAAAGGCTCCGGCCAACAACTTTGGATGAACGTGTCAAGCTGGTGTGGATGTGGGTGAAAGGCTTCCCTGTACGTGCCATAGCAGAAGAGACAGGCACGAGCGTCACCACTGTCTGCAGGTGGATAAGACGTTGGCAGCTTGAGGGAAATGTCGAGACAAAACATCGAAGACGCAGAAGTCCCGTATATTACGAACACAATCAATATTTATCGCAATTAATGAGTTTTTCCCATCCCAGTCACTCCGTCACTTCTACAGACACAATACGATTTTAAAGTGAAAGAGACATGACCTCTTCAAAACTTTCTTTCGCGAGAGTAAAAAGACGAATAAAAAAAAAACATTCCAACAAAGTATATTGAAGAGAACACGTCTGAACTTTCAGTAAAGATAAACAGGGAGAGAAAAACAGTGAATTAATTAATCTTAATTATTATTGTTGAACATCTAACAAAGAGACAAGAATATCTCAGTTTTCAGGTATCATTATATTACGTTAAATACGATTTTGTCCAGCAACCGTTCCCAGACACCAAAATATGAGGATATATACTGCACATGTGTAATTGTTCACATTCTCCTTATCAACGTAAAAAATTACCATTATTACATCTACAAGTTTTCTTTAAACTTAAATTAAAATTCTGAAATGGTTGATTTTAATGTTATAAATATCTTTTACAAACACTTGTACAACGTCTAACTGTACGGGAAGGGTTTAAGAAATGTGAGGAACGATCCTATAGAATGAGAGAACAATCCTCCAAACCACCCTATTAAGAGTTCAGGAAACACAGCCGCGAACACCACCATGTCATACTAGACTCCTCATTTACTATCCACGCCAGTCGTAGCCAAGACACAGAACTGTGGATAATAGAATCCCTCTCGATGAAAACAATATCCAGAAATGAGCAGTTATTTGTACTCCTGTGTTTCTAGAGTGGTAAGCCCGCTGCACTCTTACATTTAATTAAGATTGATTGTGTATGTATATAAAAGATTGATACACATTTTATAATAGCTGCAATAACTTGGAAGTTAAACTTCTCTTCCGTCACAATAAATGATTAACATAATGTCATGGAAATTGTTGTTTGTTTTAACAAGTTCCTGTTTAATATTAAGTACATATTAGTGTGGCTTGTAGTCTTGTTTCTTCATACTGCTGATTCCTTTCTATACAATTGTTCCGATGATAGTTACTGCGGTCCCAAAAATTTAGCAAATAAAGAAGAATGAGTGTTAAGATGTCCATCTTTGTCCAAACCCTGGTGTTAATATATATATATATATATATATATATATATATATATATATATATATATATATATATATATATATATATATATATATATATATATATATATATATATATATATGTAAGCATGCTTATACCTGTATATGAATATAAATACCTGTATACAGTAAGCCGTGAAACCACTTGTCTAGTGTAATAAGTTTACAGCAGTAGAATTATTTCATAAAAGAACATACTGTACAGTACATACATTAATGTGTGCACTCTTTCGCAAGAACGTGCACCCACATGTACAAATGCCTGCATAAACACAAAATTATACTTTATAATGTGTATGTGAACAAACGTAAGTGGGTACAAGTGCTTAAGTGTGTTACCAACCACTACTGATAGCTTCAAGGACACGATAATATCTCGAAATTGGAGAAAAAAATAAATGCTACTGAAGGTGCCGATCCACAACTGCAATATTACAACACCAGGGAGAAATATTGAGTCTAAAATTTGTGAATATGTATTAGCTCATTACCTGATTCCCAGATTTGTGGAAGTTATAGCTATTCTCTTCGATTTCATGAAAGATATTGACATATACTGTCTTCCGGAAGAGAGAGATAAAACCTACCTGATGAAGTCTACTTGAAAACTTCTCTACGAGGAAATCCCTTTAGGCTGGTTTATGTAGCCTCCTGCTTTAGTTACACTTCTTCGCCTAAGTTTCCCTGCGACGAATCGATCTACGGTTTGATTGTGGCGGAGACATGAAATTTTATGCAGTAATATTGGAAGGTACAAAAAAAAATAATTTTTTTTATTTTTCCTCCAGTTTGACAAAGTGACGATAATGGCAAGAATGCTGTTACTGCTGATGCTCCTGAGTGTTGTGTCTATGGGTGTGTCACAGCTGCCACTCTCAGGGTAAGTGTATGGATGTATCGTCATCCTTATAGCCACACCGTGAACCGGACCAATTGTTAGATACCGTTTGTGTGTGTGTGTGTGTGTGAGAGAGATTACACAAACTGTTAAAATGTTAATGTGATAAATATAGTATGTTATAAGGTAAATGTTAAGTTAATTGATAGAAACTAATTTTCCACATCATCTCTTGCATTACGTTTAAATATATTATTGTTAGTTAACCTTTTTTTACTGTGAGTTCGATTCTATTTATATAACAGGTAGTATGGAAACGTTATCAGTGGCAGGAAAAGCTGTTGGTGATGTTCTGAAACAGTGTCACATCCTCACAGCTCTCTCATCCTCCCTCACAGACGGCTCCATCCCGACCACTACTTTCTCCATGGTATGTACTAATTTAGCTTCTGTGCACGAACGAAATCCTACCTGAGATCATCCTGCCAGCCAAATTCCAACTATCACTGTACTAATTTGAACAATATCTAACTGGATGAGATGCAGGTCCTAACATCCTTGAAATTAGGTAAGATGGGATTTGGTCCAACCGTAGCCACAACAAGACCAGACCTTACAATATCAACAATATTGCTAGAAAACCACTTTTACATCTTGTAGTAGTGAGACATTGACCATTTCTTTGCTACAAGATTCAGTGATTTGTTCTGCTGTACTGTAACCTCGTGATATTCTTCAGAAGATAGCCCAGGCGCGGGCACCATGGGGGATTACAGCACGAAGTAACAACGAGAGCTACAACACCAACGTGACTCAGGCAGCAATATCAGAGGTAGTAAAAGCTCGTAGGGTAAGGCTACCTCACATATGAATGGCGTTGATTTTGCATTTATTTTAGTTCATTACTTTCCTGCTGACTTTCAATGACTTAAACCACATTCTAAAGGATAAAACCCTAATTCTTGTATGTTTAAATATAGAATGTCCATCATATCAACAGCTGCGGCAGCAGTCATGGAGCTGACGGTGGTGGTGGTGAGCTACGACCCAGCCTTTCTTGCCGCCTTCGCCGAATGGTTCTTAAGGGCCGCCTCCAGTGTGGTCGACGAGGCTCTCGTCGTCACCCGCCTGCCTCTTAAAGGTCTGAATTTTCTACACGCAACACTCTCCGTGACGAATTCGATGCTTATTATCGTCGAAAAGCCTCAGAATCATCAAGGTAACTAGAAAGTGTTTTTCTCATACGACATGAGCCATTTATAACAACCTTTCCATTCACACGTCCGGTGCTTACTTACTCTTTGAGTTTAGAAATGTATAATATAATATACCTAGAAAATATCCACTGCATATGATTAGGTTAGGTTAAACATTAAGAGACTGACTGGGTTTGATTAGGTTAACTTTGATTAGTTTCAGCTCAGAAAATATGCATTGTTGTATGCTAAATAGCATGTTAAATCTATACTCACATCATTTTTTTTATCTGTGGTGATAACAAGAACACCATAATTATCATAGGAAGTGGGCTTCTGAGTATGGCTGACATTCCTGTATTATTTTCTTATAAGTTCGTAACGTAAAATAGACCTACTGGATTATTTGTTGTTGATATTGATCTTAAACTCTATTTTACATCCCCAGTTGTAGTGTACCCCACTGCCCTACAGCCCCCGCGATGGCCAACCGTTGAGAGTTGCTCTCTGGACGCCCCACCGAGGCCTCTCACCTCCCACCTCCCACTCTTCCCTGACAAGTTCTCCCGGTGAGTTATTTCATTGGTCCGTGGAAGAACTGCATGTAAATCTCCTTTCCTAAGACCTTATTGTGGCTTGTTTTTTTATGCCAGCAGTCGATAAAGTGATATGCCTGAAAACAGCATCACTTACTGTAATAAATTACATAATCCAATATCGTGAATGAGCACATAGTGTGTCTTCTCATCACGTTCCATAACCATATGCTTTTTGTAGATTACACACTGGTCCCAATTTTGTGGCAGAGGAGTTTGAGCCTCATATCGCTTTGGTGAAAAGCCAGATGGAAGCGACCTGTTCCATTGTTCACAGGACCAATGGTCAACTTGCTGGAGATACTAGCCAGCAGTATGAACTTCACGTAAGTGGTGATAGAGAGCCTTGTTCTTGAACATGGACGTAGTGACAAAAGATCTTTTTCCGTCTTGCCTTAGTAGAACATATTATATCTTGCAAAAATTTCTCTCAAATTCTTCGACAACTGAAAATCTGGAACGTAATTAAAACAGAGTAATTTTTTCACTGTAAAACAAATGTTAATTAAGAACTCCCCCCACAACGTAGGTGGCTGCATTTACAAGGTTCCTTGCAAGGAATGTAATAGTTCTACTTAGGACAGACGGAAATGATCTTGTAACTAGACTTACAACATTAATACATATAGTGTTAGGACAGGCCAGGAATCCAATGCTTTGTTCATTCATATGAGAGATAATAAGCATTGCATTGATTGGGATAATGCCTCCTCAATATTACCTTGTAATTCATTCGTCAGTTGTAACATTATAGAATCTAGTCTAATCACAAATCGAATTTGTCAACATGAATTTGATTAATGGCATGTACAAATTGGACAATTTTTGTAACAAGATTTGTAACCAGGTGAAAGGGTTGGTGGACACCTGCCGTCCCTAGGGACTTGATTTCATTCTCTTACTGTATATATTAACCTTGTCAATAATTACTCCTTAGTCTGTACCAAGGAGGTTTAATATAGGTGGAGGCGTAATCACCCTCGCAGCCCAGTGGGAGTGAAGCCATCGCGGGCTGGTGGCCGCCATACTGGTAGAGGATAGGCATGAGCGCCTGTACAAACAACTTATCTTTAATTCTTCAACTTTTATTATTGGCAAATAAAATGGAGTCAGTTTTGTAGTACAATTAAAGATTAAATTATACACAATTTATAAAATAATAGGATCATCCACTCTGTCTCATGACACAAGCACTCTACTGTACATACATTACTTATAAGCTACTGAACAAAACCAACTTATTATTGGTTTGGATACATTTACATTTTCTTCTGTCTGTAGATTAAACGTGCATTGTAGATTTCACAGAGCTGCTTTGATCAATAAAAAGGATGATTGCTTAATGGGTCTGTGTCACACTGAACTATTTTCTGCTTATTGTAGGAAACTATTTTCTCATGTGGGTTAGGAAGTCACAGAAGTACATTGGTCCTGAATTTTCAACTTCGACAAATCTTAATAACTCTAGTGAAGGAAAACTCAGTCCCCTGTGTTTTAAGCACAACAAGTCAGTGAATTGAAGGAGGCTTTGTGCTGGAAGAGCAGAGATACAGGTTTCACAGCTAGGCTTCATATTCAGTTTGATACAACAAAGCCATACTTTCTATACCAATGTTAACTATCTCGCACCTTAATCATTTTTTTTTCTAATTTAAAAGCATTGGTTGGACAGTTTGAGTACCTTTGTTACATCACCTGTTTTAGCCCTGACTCATTTATACACCTGGATCATAGCGCCCTCACTCTACGTCTAACGAACTGGAGTTATTTACACTGTAAGATCAACTAACCTAACCTAAAGTAGATTAGGTTAGGTTAACAGACTCACAGTGTAAATATCCTGCACATACTATAGCACCTATATATATATATATATATATATATATATATATATATATATATATATATATATATATATATATATATAAAAAAAAGAGAGAGAGAGAGAGAGAGAGAGAGAGAGAGAGAGAGAGAGAGAGAGAGAGAGAGAGAGAGAGAGAGAGAGAGAGAGAGAGAGAGAGGAGGAGGGAAGATTTTCATGTATTAATAAGAACAGGGTGCATCCAACCTCAAATCTTGAATCCATCAACAAACTAAATAACCTATAACTTTGCTATAATAGGCTGAGCTTAGGAAATGAAGTTAATGAAGAAGTACATTT